CGGCCGGGGCGAGGGCGGCTCGCGGCCCGCCCGACTCGGGGGGAAAGGCGGGAGCGCGGCGGCGGCCCCGGCTCAGGACGGGGGTCCCCGTGTGGCGGCAAGGCCGGGGCCATCCCCCACCCGCTGGCGGCTGCCGGTAACTTTCGAGTGACTTCCAAAAATAGTGGCAGGCGGGCGGCCCCCTCCCCCCAGGCGGGGGCTCCCGCAGCTAGCGCTCCCCTCCGAGCCGTGCCCCCGACCTCGCGCACCTTCCGCGGCTGCCTGCTGCCGGCATGCGGGGCCAGCCAGTCAGCCCGCCCCTGCCTCCCACCGTGATTTTTAATTTTTTAATTTTTTTTTTTTTTTTTTTTTTTAGTATTAAAATGGAGCACGAGGCCATTGAAACGCATCCCCGCGGAGCGTTTTCCGCGCTCCGAGTACCGCCGGGGCTAAACACGCAGCATCCCGTGTGCCCGCGGGGATGCGCGGCCGCCGAGCCCGGTTCAACCCTCCTGTCTCCCGCTCGCTCCCCCCACGCACACACAAAGCTGGCAACATGGCTACCTCCACTCTAACAAGTTCCTCGCAACTTGAGGCAGCTCGCCGCCTCGCCGATGGCGGGGAGAGGCGGCGGGCCCGGCTCGGCGCCCAGAGCGGGCGGACACCGCCAACTTTCCCCGGCGCCGGGCTCGGCGGGAGCGGCACATCCCCTCGCCCGGCCGGCACATCCCCTCTTCTCGGCACGGCGATGCGGCCGAGGTGGAAAGACTGCTAAATTGTAGGCGCAGGCCTGTGCAAAGTTTAAGCCTTAAATGCCCCGAGCTCAGAGCCCGGGGTTGCAAAATCCGTATCGGGGAGAAAAATTCTACTCACCTTCAGACAGGTCCTCTATGCACTCGAATGTGATTTCGAACTGGAAAGGATTGTAGAAAGGAGAAGGATTATCCAACACCACTACATTGTTCACCTGAACCTTTGCCATATTTTGGAAAAAAACACAAACAATAGGCAGAGCGTGTTAACGCCGCGCACTAAAGTCCTCCGTGCCGGGCTCCCGCACCGCACAAGCCCCCGCGCCGCTGCCCGAGCGAGGCTGCAGGGCGGCGACTTCCACAAACTTTTTTTTTTTTTTTTTTTTGCGCCCCCCCTTTTATTTACACCGGGAACGCTCCACACTGTTCGCCGCTTTCCCTATTTCGCTCAACTACAGCCCATTCTGCCCCTGCTCGCCGCCAGCGCCCGCCCGGATTGGCCACTCGCCGGGCGAGGGCCCTCCCTCCGCGGGCACGGCGGGCACCGGAGATGATCCGGGCGAGCTTGAGGGGCGCGCGGAACATCTGCTTCTCTGATTTCTAGGAAAAGGAATGAGAGCTTATATCTTTTCTTCTTATTTTAGTTTTTTTTTCTTATTATTTGTTTTCCTTTCTTCTGTGTGCATTAAAATGCGAGCAAGGGGAAAAATCAGGAGGAAAGATCTTATCACGCAATTAGTCGTCTCTCCATTCATCACCAAGAGGGACTCTGCCTTAATTCGAAAGCTGTTGCCTTGCAATGATTTTATTTAAAAGGAAAAAATTAAATCCTAAGATGCGACTTTATTTCAGTTGCTGGCATATAGCTTATGGGACTGTGTTTATCCTGCTTACCACAATAACTCTTATTAAAATTGATAAGGTTTAGATTCATATATAGAAGATACATCGTTTGTCAGTATATTGTATATAAAGTTATGAACCCTATGAGCTGAAGAAGAAATTAATTTCCTTTGAAAATGTTCATTGTAAACAATGTAAGACCACATCCAGCTTGGAAAGTGCCCTAAGCTGAAAGTTGAGGCTGGAAGAATAGTAGGGCAAAATACCATAACTAAATTAGAACCATGGGTAGAACAGGGACAAAACATAATCTCTTGTCCATTCAATTTAGACAAAACATTAAAGAAGCACTGTATCTCAACAAAACAAAAAACTGCTTGCAACTAGACCTCATTTTAAAGTTTTGTTTAACCTTATTTATAAAAGGGAAGATTCAGAAGTGTTTAAAAGAATCCTAAATGGGTTTTTTGTATGCTAAGATTGTGCAGTATTGTATAAACAGCAACTGTAATGCTGGCTGCTTGGGAAGAGTGAAAAACTACTCTCAGGCCAGCACTCATGATGAAATTGTTCCCAACACCTCCCAGAACAAGCACTTTTGCTGTCAGAATGCACAAAACGAGTCTAATCAAGTAGGAAGGTGCATTAAGCTTTCAGCATCCCCTAACAAGAATGAAAGCAGTGATTCACAGGCTAAACAACCTTGCCTGCGGGTCTCCATCAGGTGCGGAGGGGCACTTTCAGTTTGGGGCCATTTCAGCCCTTTGGGTTTTTGTTACGCTTTGTTTGGTGGGTTTTTATCTTCCTGTTTCTGTGCTGATTGTGCTGGGTGCTGGTGGGGTCTGGGTGCCAGGAGCACCCCCAGCTCAGGGCACTGGGCCTGGGCAGTGGTTCCAGGCTCTGAGCCCAAGCCTGCAGCCCACGGCAGTGACCTCTTGGCCGCTGGCAAGGGATATCCGTGCTGGGATTCGGCACCTTGCTGGCTGGGGAGCCCCTGAGCACAGCCAGCTTTGCTGGTGGGCACTGGGTGCCCCGGCTGGGACGGGCTGCCTGCACCACCCTGAGGGCTGCTGGAGAGGCCACCCGAGAGGGGCTGGCCGGGAACCAAGCGTGCCTGTCACAAGACCCTGCTGTCAGGAAGCCATCCCCTTCCTCTATCTGTAGAATGCTTGGGTGCCCTGAAGTGCTACGAGACAGGACATTTTGCCTGTGCAGCAGCATTGCCGGTGAGAGAGGGCCCTGTGTGCAGCAGGGGAAGCCATCCTGTGTGGTACATTTTGCCTGTGCAGCAGCATTGCCGGTGAGAGGGCCCTGTGTGCAGCCGGGGAAGCCATCCTGTGTGGCGGCAGGAGCCTGCAGCAGAGGCCATCTCATGGCTGCCATTCACAGGGGACAGCGAGGAGCAGAGTGACACTGCACTGCCAGTGACGGCCCTCACGGCTCAGGGCGAGAGCAGAAAGTGCCCATGGCTCCGGGGTGCAAGTTGTGTACCCCCACCACAGGATATTCAGAAATAAATGCATGGCCAGGCTGTCGTACTGCCTAGTACTCTGTGTTTCTGTAATTTGCTGTGTGATTGATTGCCCACGGCACTCGGCACACAGTCCAGGAAAACCAAGAAAGACTGGACACGGTGGAGCGAATTCCTTACTACAAGTTGAAGTACATATTATGTTATCAGGAAGCATTTAGTTCCAGTAACTTTTTGCTGGTCATTTGCAAACAAATAGGTACTGTGGTGGGCTGCACAGTGATGAGAAGGTCTTTGCAGCCTTGAGCCAAATGGTGAGGCAGGGGGGATTCTTGTGCAGGCTTTGCCATAGAATTCCAGGGGATTTGAGGCTGGTTGCAGCTTGTAAACTACGAGGATATTCTGAGCTGAACACTGGAATGGAAAAGAAGGGCTAAAAATAAAGAAGCAGGGAAATAGGGAATAGGATTGGAGGGAGCTGCACATACTTGCTAATGAGTGGTCGTTTCCACCATTATGCAGGAGTTTTGCCTGGCTATCCACCCAGTATTTTATCATATGTAGATTTACTGAAAAACTTTTATTTTTTTTTTTTAATTTCTTCCTTTTATTTCACCCTTGGTCATCTTTGGATTTTCATTTTTTCTTAATGCTTAGAGGAAACCAAAAACTCATAAAGAAATTTAATTTCCTTAGTTTAAGGGAAGAATTTTACTTTCTGGGGCCATGAGCTAAATGACAATTTAATTTTATTTTTTTACCCAAGCTTTGATTTGCAGCTCCAAAATTTCTGTCCATTTTAGGAGTTGATGTGGAGTCCTGAATGGGTCTGTTCCATGATTTTGCAATCTTTGCCTTTGCCCCAATTTTCAGTATGATCTGCCAGATCTAGTCTTAATACACTAATCTCTTTTGTTCATTTAACAAAGTTCTAAGACAAGTCACAGTCCAAGCATGGGAAGCTTAACAGAATCTGCTCCATAGCTCCAGGCTAGCCTACCCCAACACTAGTGGGATTGCTTGCTGGTAGCTGTGAAGTGAGTTATGTGGTAGAAGTATATGATGGAGCTTTCCTGCTGGTTTGCCCTCTGTCCATGGCTCAAGCCGCTGTGCTGGGTCCCTTTCTTTCCCTCAAGTTTACTCCTGCATTTTAGGGAAGAGACTGACTGAAGTATTTGATTCTTCAGGTTTGACAGTGACTGCTGTGAAGGAATTTGGGGAGTGGAATTTGGAAGCTGGAGCACTGGTGCTTGCAGATGGAGGCCTCTGTTGCATTGATGAGTTCAATAGTATCAAGGAACATGACAGAACCAGTATCCACGAGGCAATGGAGCAACAAACCATCAGTGTTGCAAAGGCAGGGTAAGTGGCATGTTAGCACATGTGAGAAAACAACATGAGATTTTTCTCTTGTACTTACATGTTGGAGGGATGCTGATTAAATATATCTGTTTTCTTCACTGTATGCAATAGTTTTGTTGTCATCAATATTCCTAAACTATACGAGTCAGCATTTCAAAGGACAGTGCACTGGACCAGAGGCTGCAAGCAATCAGAATAAATACATACCCTCTTCACTGCTGGGTTTTTAATCTACTGCTATAGGCCAGGGCACTTTTCTACAAAGACTTGGCATCCTTTTTCTTGCCCTTTGCTGCAAGTGGCTGTAATAATCCTATGTGAAATGAGAGGTTTTGTGACTTTTTTTGTTGCAACTCAGAGAGTGGAGCTTCATTTTTCCAAAACCACAAAATCACAGAGTCATTAAGTTTGGAAAAGACCTCAAAGATCATCAAGTCCAGCCTATGACTGATCACCACCCTGTCAACTAGACCACGGCACTAAGTGCCATGTCCGGTCAATTCTTGAACACCTTCAGGGATGGTGACTCCACCACCTCCCTGGGCAGTCACTTTTTCAGTGAAGAAATTCTTCCTGATGTCCAGCCTGGACCTCTCTCGGCACAGCTTGAGGCTGTGTCCTCCTGTCCTGTAAAATCCAGTAATATTGCTTAGTAACCAAAGCACATCAGGAGATTTCGAGGCTGCTGTATTTTCCAAGAGATTTGCAGGCTGCTGAATTTTATATGTTGGGTGTGGCATAAATATAAACTCCTGCTTACTTTAAATTCCTCCCTTTCTTTTTTCAAAGTAGTGTGTGTTCAAATCTGCTATCCCCCCACTACCCCTGCCCACCACTTGGATCTTTGAGCTCATATTTCAATTTGTCAGTAATATGCAGCTCTTATTCAGGCCCAAATTATTTCCTGGCTGGTATTTCTGAAATTTCTGCTACTCAAAAGGCACCACCCTTTCCACATTCCTTCTTGTCACCTTCCACTCAGCTCTTGCTCCAGTTGCATCTTGACTTCTCTAAGTGATCATATCCTTCCCTTATTCTGAGCATCTCCATCTTCTTCATCAGACAGCAGACAAATAATCACAGAATATTCTGAGTTGAAAGGAACCGACAAGGATCATCAGATCCAATACTTAAGTGAATGGCCTGTGTGGGGATTAAACCCACAACTTTGGTGGTTTTAGCACCATGCTCTTACAACTGAGCTAATCTCAGGGTCATGTTGCCCTCACCTGGGTAATTACCAGCCTTTGCCAGCTGGGCACAAATACTTGGGATCAATATGGTCCTGTCTCCTTAGTAAGGCAGGGACATATTTCAGCTGAGTTCCTTGTTGCAGTTGTTTAGATTTGATAGACTCAAACACAGTTTGCTAACTTGCACATAGATGCCCAGTTGCTCACTTTTAAAGACTACATATAATGAGGATTTTTTGAATAGTAACTTAGCACACATAGGTTCAGCACCTTGTTAATTTAGGTCTTATTTTGGTGCATGGGAGAATAAGTTGTTTTTTTTCCTGCTGGGTATAAGCTAGTGGAAGATCTGTGGTCCTTCCTCTCAGTTACAGAAGAACTTTGGACGTGAGGCAGCAGTTACTCGGGAGCTGACTAGAAATAGCTCACTGACAAATCAAAGTTAGAATGCTTCTGCTGCTGCCTTACCCAAAAGGAGTGCATTTGGACTACTAAAGCAAAAATAATCTCTCCCCACATCTACAAGCACATGCTAGGACATCATGGTTAAGAGTAGAAAATGGCTGTTTCAGTTAGTATGGCTGCCATCACTGCTAACTTGCGTTCATATTCTTGTTTATACACAGAAATAAAGCATACATTTATATCACATTTTATTTTGCTCTCTTAAAATGTGAATTAAGCAAAAG